CAGCAGGAAAATGAGCTGATCTGCTCTTAAACCTCCCATCAGCAGAGTCACCTCATAAAATGCAAGCGCATAGGGTGCCGTCTTAATACCTGTGGTCAGGCCTCTGAAACCTGATTTGGTACTTAACAGTCCTAATCGTCCAAAGCAACTAAGGCCAAAAGGGCTTTGGAGAATCTTTAGGCTGGGTGGAGAAGATCCCCTGACTCCCCCCAAAAATCTGCTCCACCAACTGCTTTACTTCAAACTGTGGGCTGATTTCCATTTATCACACTTGGCCCTAATTACCCTGGAGCAGCCTTTCTCCTAGGCCTGGAGCAGGAATTTTAAGGGGCTCCTGACAAAGCAGGTCCCTGAGACCAAACAATAGTGCAGGGAAAAGCCTGGGTGAGAAAGTGTCCATTCCCACTGCTCTCCTTCTGAAGACCCAGGTTCCAGGCCGGCTTGGGCTCTCCCCAGGTAGGAACTCGAGTTCCTCCACTAAATAGATTTTCCTTTTGTTGTCACATTAATTTGCAACTCATTAATAGTGACAGAAGTGAGGTACTGCACCAAATCTATTTGCATATTCATGAGTGACTTATTATTAAACAAATAAGATTTTCCTATCTTCGCAAGCACCCAAAGTAAGGCTGAACAGTACATTACACCGGCCCTGATGCTCTATTCTCTCTTTAATATGTTAATAGATGCAGTTGATTTCTTTAAGTAAATACGCATCTATAAAACAACACGTACTTTATAAAAAAGAAATCATTTAAATAATAATCCATTAGCAAAGTTGGCAACAATTTAAGAGGAACAACCCATTAATACCAACGCGTGAGAATTAATTTGCGAATTTTAACTCGGTTGGGTGGTGGGTTGCGGACCACGGAGGAGGAGGACCTTGGAGAGTACGTGCGCGCTTAAAAAACATTTTAATGAGTTTCCAGAGACAAGCACTCAAAGCCTGCATGTCTTTTGGGGGCCGACTCTTAGTAGGTCGAAAACTGCCTGCGTCCTGCCCCTCGTCAACGTTTTATTCCAGTGTCCGCAGGGCACTGGAGTCGTGAGCTGAGAGCAGGCCCCAGCGCCACGTCGACCCGACAGCTTTCACGGTGCCCAGCGGCCCTCTATCAGCACCGGGTTAAGCGGGGTGGGGGTGGGGCATGGCCTGGTCTTTGGGCGAGGCTCCCCCACCGGGCTGGGACTGGTGGCCTCCCTGCCTATTTACCCCGCTCCGGCACATCTTTCCTCACAGCCGGTTCTGTCCTGCCGGGGTCAGGGTGGGCTCCCCCAGTGGCGGCGCGGAGCGCGGGGCCAACCGCGAACCCTTATCTCGGCTGAGTCAGACACTCGCCGCGCGGAATCTGTTGACATTTACTATTTTTCGCAGGAGCCCAGAGCACGGGGCGGGGGCGGGGGCGGGCAGGCGGGACTGGGCGAGGAGAGGGAGGGCGGCGAGTGTGGGGCCTGCGGTCGGCCCGAATATGTGTGTGAGCTCGTGAAGGGGGGGGCGGGGTGAGTCGTCTCCACGAAAAATAAAAGTGGCCCGCGGGCCCGGAATCTTCCAACCGGCGTACTGGCATAGGCCAGGAATCGAGGTGGTGGTGGTGGTGAGGGGTGCGGAGGAAGGAAGATTGGGCGGCTGGTGGTGGGGTCTGCGGCTTGCAGGGGGTCGGCTCCAGCCGCCCGGCCCCCAGTGACCCGTAGGACACAAGTGCATTTGTGTCGAGCCGTGGCGGGGATTAAAGTGCCATACGGCTCGAGCGAGGGGGGACGAGTCGGGTGGAAAACAACTCCCCGCGCGCACAAAGCGCGCATTGTTCCAGCCACCTCCATTATGCCGCGCTGCAGCCAAGAGCCCGTTTCGCAACTGCCCGCCCGACGCGCGCGCACACGCACGCACGCGCGCGTACACACACACACACACACACACACACACACACGAATTCGCTCCGGCCGAGGCCGGGGGTGGGTGCGCTCCGCCGGGAATGGGAGAGGTCGCTGGGGCGGGTGGTGGTGGTGGTGATGAGGCGGGCTTGTCGGCTTCTTTTTCAGCTCCGCTGCTTGTCTATAT